GACAAAAAAGAAGAAGACGGAAAGGAAAAAGGGGCGGTTTGATAAAAAAGAAATAAAAAAAGAGAAGCCTCCCTTTGGAAGAAGTTATTGAGGACAAGATCCAATCCAGCGATGGGACGAGACGGGAACGAGCTACTAGTCTCACTAATTACCGTCGAGGACAACCTGGCCAGCTTGCCTCTTCTTTTTTTCTTACCTTAGCTTTAGTCTATCCCCTGGCCTGTCCTTTGGGGATGGACGCAGGGGTACGGAGCAAATCGATTGGATTTCTACCCCACTCATTTAGTAGCTCTCAGCCACTTGACAGCTGTTGCTTCCATGTCTTTTTAGGGGATTCAATAGGAGCTATGGACCCAATTACGTGGCGTTTGAGCTTGACTGACCACTGTTACCAACTTTCAGCTTGGAGAAAAGATGCCTGCCGTACAGGGCTGATTGAGACTGAGATAGAGGCAAATTGAACCACAGAACATGTACAAATGTTCTGTCCATTGATACAGACAATATTGATGCCATGGGACGGATAGTGAGAGAGCCTTCTACAATTTAGACATCCTCCACCGGGCCATACCTACCTAGACTGTTTCTCTTTGAATCACGATCCAGGCTCGGAGAATACGGTGCTATCCTCAACCTGGGGTTGAATAAGACTTCAATAGAGACAGCTCGTGCTCTATGTACCAAACAACCGTCTCCAATTGTCTTTTGCCTGTCCTGATCCGTTGAATCTCTTAACAAAGGCTCTAATGTATTAGATGCTGCCCTCAAGGTAAAAGCTACCAACTATCATGAAACAAAGCAATGGCTTACTTTTGCATTGTTTGCCAAATTCTATACACAAAGAGCCAAACACATTTAGGCCATTTGTACAAACAGTTGCAATTAGGAATATGGAAATATCTTCTAGTCTTAAGTCAGGTTTATTATGATGCCATACTATGACGCAACCACAAAGACCATTATCTGAGGCTCTTATACGAACCAGTCCCACCTAAACCGTCTATATCATGAGAATAAAAGGTTCTACTCTGTGTTTTGGACCCTTTGGACCCTTGGATTAATCTTTAAACCGTCCAGTGGGTGACAGAAAAGCTGGCCTAAGTCTTAAAGTATAAAAATAAATAGATCAATAAGTCTATGCTAAATGCCTTAAACTGACCTACTAATTTCGTCTCTCATGTTTCCCGCGGCCAATTTTCCGATATCTTGAGGGCCGTGTCCGGAGGGCGCAATGCGGGGCATTGCCGTAGACGTCGTCAGATCTACATGCCAAAAGTGACCTTCAGTGAGCCGATCAACGGAGCTCAGCAGCAGCAATTAACTGATTCAGTATGTACGTAGGATAGTAGCTTAACAATAACAACCAATGACCAATTCCAATTGATTCTCTCAAGGTGTGTTATGTGTCTTATATAAGCTTCGGTGGTCTCCTCCGAATAGTCACCGAACCTCCGGAAGCTCTCGTTCAAAACACGGCTTCCAAACCTTGCCTCAACTCTTGCTTGCACTTAGCTAACTCCCGAACCCAACTCCAGACAACTTTACATCCTCATCCATAACTACACTACAGGTACGTTAACAGCTGTCAACATCAGTTTGTGTTCTATAATGTATTTTTCTCTCGTTGCTCGTAGAGCTCCCCGCTTTATCACTTCGTCCCTCCGGACAGCTCCTCGTCAGCAGGCCATTGTCATGACAGCAGCAAAGTTCACACGTTCAAGCAGACACCAATCGACAATGTCTTCCGATCAGCAGATTGTCTTCACCAAGAACGCCCCTGCGGGTAAGTTGCCTATACTCTTGATTTCTACAACGCTTACTGACGATATTCAAGCGCTTGGCCCCTACGTATGTTAAAGCTACCCCTCACTGACAGAAACAACACTCATCAAATTTCAAAATAGTCTCAAGCCATCAAAACCCCCCACATGATCTACTGCTCTGGTCAGATCCCTCTCACTCCTGAGGGCGAGCTTGTTCAGGGTATCACTGAGCAAACCCGTCAGGCTTGCAAGAACGTCCAGGCTGTCGTCGAGGAGGCTGGTTCTTCTCTTTCCAAGGTCGTCAAGACTACTGTCTTCATTTCTGACATGTCCTACTTTGCTGTTAGTCCTGTCGGAATGCCTCTGTTCTTCCAATTACTTACCAATTGTAGGAGATCAACACAGAGTACGAGAAGTGGTTCTCTCACAAGCCAGCCCGTAGCTGTGTTGCTGTTAAGACTCTCCCCAAGAACGTCGATGTTGAGGTTGAGGTCATTGCTCTTCCTTAAACACCCGAAATGATTAAAAGAAAAGAAGGGTGATCATATAGAACCCAATAAAAGAAATTATCACAGTCACCCCATGGAGTCTGTTAATCTGTGCTACTTTCGCTTGCCCTTTTTGACACCCTTTGGTTTCACGTCTTCGTGACTTTCTATTCTCCTAGACATACATAAATGATCTCGAGGTAAACATGGACTAAGTATCAACCAACTATAGAGCCAAGTAGGCGAATAGAATCTAATGAACATGTAGACGCGGTTGGAATTGGGATGCGATTCCTCTCATGAAATCGGTTATATCTAGTCTTATGATAGATGGTCCAACTCTATTCTGCAACTATGTTGGATCCAAAGGTCTAATTAAGCACTCCACAGAACAATCCTGCCATCGACGCCGCTTGCTGTAATATTTGTTAGTTTCCAAAATGTGACATGAATGACTTTGCGACTTACTGCTGAACTTGGTGACACGGTCACCAGAAGACTCAAAAGGCCTAACGGTGCTGATGGTGTTTTGGTGGGTAGTTTGAAGCTGAGTGTCATCCTTGGCCTTGCCCTTGAGATCCATCTGCCTGAACATGTTCAGAGCAGACTCCTCACGGTGCTCGCCTAGACCAGGGCGGCCCTTTTGCTCGATAGGACCAGCTAACTGCCAGCCGCCCTCATCACCCTTGAAGCGGAAAGCCTCGCAATCGTAACCAGCAGCGATAATCTCATCTTCACTGGTCCAGATCAGGCTCTTGAAAGGAAGCTGCTGAGTAGAGACGGTAACAACAGCACGAGGGGGCTGTTCGGGGCCAGATGGGTAAACAACAGTGATGCTGCTGTCGTGAGCTGCAAAGGCAAGACTATCTCCGCTGGGAGAGAAAGAAACCGAGTGCACCCATCCAGCCGAGTTGTTCAGATACTCTCCGCAAACGGTGTTGAATGGGAGACGCTCGCCCCAAACTCCAGGAGGAGGACGAGCATCCATACCCTTGATGAAGGCGGAGAAGACTCGCGCATGAGCATCAGTAGATCCAGCAGCCAGAAGGACCGAGTTGGGGTGCCAGGCAACACTGGTGATGGTGCTGCGGATAGGCTTCTTCAGATGCTTGGAAACCCACCAGTCGTTTTCCTCCTCGAAGTAGCAGACAGCAATGACCCTGTCACCGGATCCGACGGCAAACTTGTTCTCGGAGGGAGACCAGCGCACGAAAGTGGCGGCTCGACTAATTCGGAGAAGGACGAGAGTTGGCTTGTAACCCTCAGGGGAAGGTTCCCAAACGATAGCGTTACGGTCTGGCAGTATAATGTTAGCCAAGATATGATATAAGTGACAGCTATAGACTAACCCTGAGAGCATGTGACAATACGCCCGCTGTTAGGGGCAATGTCAACACCAGTAACTGTCTTGTCGTGGCCCTTGAGCGAGTCCTTCAGCTTGAAAGCGCTGCCAACCTTGCCATAGAGCTCGACAGAAGTGTCCCGAGCGACCGCAAGGACAGACTGATCGGCCGAGAAGGAGTGGTCGGCGATGGGGTTGTGGAAGAGGTGGTGAACTTCGGGGGCGGCCATGATGATGGTATTTGCAATAGGAGGAGCTCTCTACTATCGCTTTAAGTCGATTGAGAGTATGAAGGTGTAAGAACAGGCTCGTAACGTTCGGGCGTTGATGTACGTATTGGATTGAGTTGGCGGTGGGGGTGGGGTTACGTATGAGGTAGCGCTGAAGCTCCAGCAGATGAACAACACCCAATGGAGCTTTGGTGGGCCACAGCGGCTGTGTTCGTAGCGCGAGGCTGGTAGAGTCGACCTAGGTTCAGAAAAATCTCCATTCCACATCAACACCGCTGAACATCGATATCATTCACCGAACTGCGCCTACTCGCATCACCAGAGCATTGGACCAGGTGGTGAACATCTAACTGCATGATATTGATCGCAACGCATTCAAAATCGATTCAAAGCCATCTAATTCAGAGTAACAACTACAATGGCCGCTACAGCCACCGCGCCTCGCGGTCTTCAACCAAACTCATCCTTGCCGGCCAAGGTGCAGCCTATTCCACCTAATCAGACGTCAGTACTTCTTTGTTATGTTGTTGTTGGATGAAGCTAACTCCAGAAGTCTCTACGTTACAAACCTTCCCTCTTCAAAAATCCAGAAAGACGATCTTCGAACCGCTTTGTACTTGCTCTTCTCGACATATGGAGCCGTGCTGGATGTTGTCGCACTCAAGACCATGAAGATGCGTGGCCAAGCCCATGTTACGTTCCGAGACGTGCAGTCTGCTACACAAGCTATGAGATCTCTTGAGGGACAATCATTCCTCGGCCGCGACTTGGTTGGTGATCTACTTCCGTGATAAATGCTCGTGGTCTAACTCTGTCTCAGAAAATACAATATGCCAAGTCAAAGTCCAACTTTGTGGCCAAGCTTGACGGCACTTTCAAGATTCCTTCCATGAACGCAGGCGCCGCCAATGTCGAACAGACCGAACTGCAACAGAGCATCTTCAACGCGCCCCCTCCCGGAACAGCACCTGCACCTGGCTCCAGCCTTCCCCCGAAACCTACTGCGAACACCGACCAAGTCATGGAAGATGCCGGCACACCAGGCGATCGGGGACAGAAGCGAACTCGCGACGAAGAGGATAGTGATTCAGATGTCGCCATGGAGGAGGACAGTGATGATGATTAATGAACCAATGGAAGGCCGGCTATATCTCTGAGAGACGCAATCTGGACCCGTTCACTGCATTGCCATCTCTTTGGGTACCCACAGGCCCACGCAGCCCCCAACAAGCCCGAGCCATATCATGAGGTAGTTCGTCCTGTCGCACTCAAATTTGGAGATAGCATCTCCTAACAAGCATGGGTGGACAAAGAATGATGGGACGCCCGTAATAGGGTGATGCTGTGAGCAAGATGTTAGTTAGACCAGCCAATTTTGACGATACCCTGAATCATGAATTGACTTGTGCGAACAGCTCTCGTCTCAAGACTTACATCGGCCGATATCCCACCTACGTTGCCGAGTTTCCGAAGACCAGCCTTGTACTCATCAGGCACAAGACGGCGAAAGACGGTGTCAACGTCAAACGCGGGTTCATCAGCGGGTAGGTTGCGTAGAGTGAACCACAGGCAAGGCACACGATATGTAGGGTGAAGATGAATTTCGTATTCCACCATGGCAATCTCTGGACGAGCTCGCTGTCTTATAAGAGCAGCCTGCAGTTTCGTAAGATAAACCTGAATTTTTAAGGGAAGCAATACAATGTACCGAGGGTATGTTACCTCGTCTGCTTCTTCAGCATCTATCATATCCTTATCCTCCGCCATTGATACATGATGGTTCTTCTCGTCCGAAAAGGAAAACCCGTCCAAGTCTAGTGAGAGATCTCCGTGATCCAAGTCAAATTCGAGAGGACGTCTTATTTGAATATATGTCGTAAAATCTCCACCATAGGAAAAATCGGTACAGAGTGCGTTGCAAAGCCTGAGTTTCCAGCGCCCTCGCTCGGGGCCTAGTGAGGCCTGGCAATATTGCCTGTCGAGATGATGGCATGCTTCTGTGAACTCTTCAGAGCTGAGTGAGGGGAAATTCTCTATGCTCATTTTGCTAGCCTTATGTGCTTTTAAAGATCGTGAATGTCAAGCAGTCTTGAAGTTGTGGTTAAGTTGGGTACCGTTTTGCAACTCCGGTTAGTATTTTGCGTGTGTCAGGCCCACGTTGAATGCGTTTAAATGTCCACTGACTCAAAAGACCACAGGGCTGTCGGCGCTATTTATCAATGTTTGACTGGAGGTAGTGCAACAACACATGCAGGTACTCGATATGTTCTACTCCTGTGGTGCCTCAGAACAATAGAGAAATGCTTGTCGCGGAAGAAATAGAATCTCTTCTGAGCAATGATGTCGTCTACAGGGTGTATATAAACTTATAGGCTCGATACTATTGACCTATAAATTCCCCATCTAGATGCAAGTCTAGTCCTCGTTGCACTTACATACACAAAAGCAGCCTCGAATAATACATGTCTCAACACATATTCTGATTGCTATACAACAGATATAACCCAAAATGCAAACGGAATGCTGGATCTGAGTGCTCGGGCCAAGGCGCTACGTAACATTAACATTACTCGGTGTGTGCATTTTCCCGAGTATCGGTATCTCAATCGACACTTGTGCACCCTGGTCTCGTGTCATGAAGACAGAGCTACCCCAAGCTCCTATTCCTGACACTGACACCTCATGCTGTTGTCTGTTCCCTACGCGTAATTTGTTTGAGATTTAATCTGGTTTGTTCTTGCCAAGTGTTACTTGCAATTCATACATAATAATTATTTTGTTTCAGTGAATCGTGCCTTCTTTCTATCCTTTTCCGAGTCATTCACCTACGTGCCTGCCTTTCGGAGCTGCAGCTCCCCCATACCTCCTTCGCTCTAGTCCCACCTTGAAATACAAAACACCAAACCAATGATTCGAGATCCGTTCAACCTCCACCGAAACATAAACACTTTTAATCGCCCGCAATCTCAAAACATTCCTTCGCCATCGCGGGTCGAGGCTGGTGAGTTAGCTATGGCCTTCTCTATGCCCCGAACCGCTCCGGACTTCAATAGTCGTCAACGAGAGCTCGAAGACAGAGTCTGGGGTTCTGGACAAAGATCCAACAAATCAGACCGATTACCAATGTACAAGGACAAACCCTACGCGTCGCCGTACGACGACGAAGAACGGCCATGGTGGAAACGTAAGAAGGTGTTGGGTATCATTATCCTCATCTTCACGTTAATATACTGGTTCGGATCCTCCTCCAAGACACCCAAAAAGAGAACCGTAACGACCGACTGGAGCTTCGCAGGCTTGTCCAAACATGATAAGAAAGTGGATTGGGATCACAGGAGAGACCGTGTGGTGGAAGCATTCGAGCTGAGCTGGGATGCTTACAGACTTCATGCTTGGGGTACGTTTGACTCCATATCATGGACAACTCACATTGGCTAACCGATGAACTCAATGCAGGATTCGACGAATTTCACCCTATAAGCAAGACGAGCGAGAACATGGCACCAGACGGGCTCGGCTGGATCATCATTGACGCACTGGATACCATGATCTTGATGAACCTGACATCCCGCCTTCAAGACGCTCGCCAATGGATCTCGGAGTCTTTGACATGGGATCAAGACCAAGATGTAAACACCTTCGAAACCACCATTCGCATGATGGGTGGTCTTCTCAGTGCACACTACTTATCCACCGAGTTTCCAGGTCTTGCACCGTTGGCGGAGGACGATGAGGGGGCCATTGGGGAGGACTTGTATCTGGAGAAAGCTAAGGATCTGGCTGATCGTCTCATGAGTGCTTTCGATTCTCCCTCTGGTATCCCATATGCAAGTGTCAATCTTCAAAAGTTCCAGGGTATCGAATCGCACGCCGATAACGGGGCGTCGTCGACCGCCGAAGCTACAACTCTCCAACTTGAGTTCAAGTACCTTGCAAAACTCACAGGAGAGAAGGACTTTTGGGATCGAGCTGAGAAGGTCATGAAAGTTGTCGATGACCAAGGGGCCCAAGATGGTTTAGTTCCCATCTTTATTTATGCGAGCACAGGAAAGTTCAAGGACGAGAACATCCGACTCGGAAGTCGCGGCGATTCATACTACGAATATCTCATTAAGCAGTATCTTCAAACGAACAAGAAGGAGCCTATTTATCGAGATATGTGGTACGACGCCCTCGAGGGTGTTCGTAAGCACCTCGTCACCTACACATCCAACGAGAAGTTCACCATTATCGGAGAGCGACCTAATGGGTTGAGCAACTCCCTTAGCCCCAAGATGGACCATCTCGTGTGCTTCATGCCCGGAACGATGGCATTAGCGGCCACAGAGGGCCTCACGGAGGCCGAGGCACGCAAACTCCCTACGTGGTCAAAGAAGAACGAGGAAGACATGAAACTGGCGCGCGAGTTGACAGAGACATGCTGGGGCATGTACAAATACATGGCAACAGGGTTGGCAGCCGAAATCACCTATTTCGAAATTGATAGCCAACCACCGGCTTATGGCAACCCTCGCCAGGGACCAGCCAACTTTGACCCAAGCCCAGAGGCGGAATGGCGCAAGGACTTCACTGTCAAGTCTGGCGATGTTCACAATCTCCAACGACCGGAGACAGTTGAAAGTCTGTTCTACATGTGGAGAATTACCAACGATAACCGATATCGCGAATGGGGTTGGGAAATGTTCAAATCCTTCATGAACCACACAGCTGTGAGGAACGGAGGAGGCTTTACGAGCTTGCGCAACGCCAATGTCGTGCCACCCAAGGTGCGCGACAACATGGAAAGCTTTTGGCTGGTAAGTGATGGATTATCATGACAATATGGAGTTGGAATGCTAAACATGTTGACCAATAGGCCGAAACGCTCAAGTACTTCTACCTCTTGTTCTCGCCCTCGGATCTCCTACCTCTGGATAAGGTTGTCATCAACACTGAAGGACACCCGTTGCCTCGGTTTGATATGGGACAGATGTTTACCACTGGATGGCAAAGACAGCCAAGGGATGCCAGTGGTAGGATTATTGCCAAGACCGTCAAAATTGATGGCGATGAGAAGGAAGCGGTCATGCAGGATACCAAAAAGGCGACTTAGTGGATTAAGGCACTTATGACTGTCGTGTATCTGTATGGATTGTATCTGCGTCAATTGAATCGGCCATGAATAAGCTTAAACGATACAGCGAGCCAAAGGGCATTTTAGCTGCAGCATGTATGTAGCATTCTTTATGTCATCACGCTTTGGCATGAACAGACAGTAGAATAAAGAAAAAAACAGCGCTTTCATCATTTCAATATACCGTCTCCTGTATCAAAGTGTTTGTTTCCTTGAAAGTAAAACGAGATGAGACTGTTTTGGTGTGGCTTTGCAGCTGCCTTTCTCGTCCAAGCTTGAAGTGCAAGAGTAACAGGCTAACACAGTTGTTACACAGTCGCGACATGATTATGGTTCGATAGCTTACGAGTGGTCATCCTCTGAACGAGATACTAGGAGTCTGATAGCAACAACTCCACTTCCCCGTGTTTCTTTTATCTTGGCTCCTTGGCACTTGAGGACATGTGATTGCAATCATGACACGAGGATAAGAAACCCACCCTGTAACATGGTCGGGAAGGGTTCTAGGCTGATACATTGAGTGATAACGGGCGGCTAACTAATCACAGAGGGATTTGCTTTTTGTCGGAACCGAGAGCATGCAGGACAGGGAATCTGTCTGCATCTGGGCTGAGTCGAAGTGTGATTGACTAAAGTTAGTGGCCAACTGCACCTGCTGGAGATGGCTTAGAGGAACAGGGTTTATTGATACCGTTGTCTGTTGGCTTGCCTGTGAATCTGTGAGGGTTGTGTCCAGGTTGTGAAGGATTCCTCGATTGGATCGTTTAGAGCATAGTGACTCTCATAGCTCAAGAGGCTCAATCGTAATGTTTTACGTCTCAACTGGATATAGGCAGCTCAGCGGAGGTACTCATTCCCAAATGGGCTTCGCGATGGACTGTTTACTCCAGAATCTAAATGGAACCCAGCAATCTGGTCCAGGTGGTATCACCAGCGTGCGGGGCCCCCAGCCAGAAGGCGTTACAGTGGGTGGCCCCCACAAGAATAGCGTCACTTTCCCCACCAATACAGAGCAACGCTCCTAGCATCTCCAACGCTTTGAGCGTTTGACAGCTCGATCTCAGTGGCGTTTAAGCCTGCCTGAGCTATTTTCGCTCCTCACAGGCGTTCTTAAGTTCCAATTTGACATTCTAGATCGTCACATTACTGGTCAGGTTCAAATTGGATTCGATATCGGACCCTTTAGGAGGGATTGGGCTTGTTCAACGCCAAGCTTGAACCCATCCATTGTCACCGACTCGACTTGAATGCCCGTATTACTGTTTGCTAATGCTAGGTACTCCCCGAATGATAAGCCCACCTCACCTTCCTACTTTCAGGCCCTCCTCACGCTACCTACTTACATCGACGTTACCCTGCTTTGTTCCTCTTCCACGTTGCGTTGTTTAATTAATCTACATGCGAATCGTTAATCTCGATTACCACGTCTTTTGGTTCCAAAACTAAGCATTCCACCTTGTGCATTGTTCACTTACACTCTGTCCATTAACATCATCACTTGATCTGCATTGCTCGACTTCGATACTCCATCACTACGGTTACCTTGGTGGCGATATGCCGACCGACTCATCATACTTGCAAAGACGATCAAGTTACCAGCAAGCCAATATTGGACGCCAAATGCAACCACACTCTCGTGCGCTTTAGAATATTAACCACTAAACTACTGTAACCCTGACGAACCCGACGAACCCGACGAACCAGCGGCCTTCGCCGACTAATCGCCTGCTCACAACATACACCTCGCACTCACCTCCAATCTATCCCAGCGCACATAGCAACGATAATTCTCAGCGAAGGGCCAGCTCCAGTCATCCCACGGTTCGGGATCGACCAAGTGTGAGCTCGGCCCGGGCGCAACGCGCAAGTACAAGCACAAACCCAAAAATGGCTCCTCACGATGTCGAGCGCGGCAGCATTAGCAAGATGA